CAGCCGGCACTACGTGCCCATCTGGCTCTACCCGGAACCTGCCTTCCTGCCCTTCTGCAGTGGCTCTGCCTACGTTCTCTCTGCCCCAGCCGCTGCTGCTGTCCTGGGTGCTGCCCGCCTGCTGCCGCTGCTGCCCGTGGAGGATGTGTATGTGGCACTGTGCGCCCACCATGCTGGCATTGCCCCGCGCCACCTGGACCATATGGCCGGGGCTACCCACTACCCGCCTGATGCCTGCTGCTACCGGGAGGTGCTCCTCAGCGTGCACGAAGTGGAGCCTGCCGAAATGCTGTCCATGTGGGAGGCAGCCGAGCACCCCTGCACCGCCTGGCAGCGCTTCCTTGGCTTGACCCGCTGCCAGGTCCTGGCCTGGCTGGCTGCAGGGCTGCCAGACTCCTGAACGGAAAATAACTTCAGGTCAATGTAGTATGAGAGACTTGCCAGGCTGGTGTGTTGTGCAACAAGGTCACTTCCTCTCCGTCTGGGCCATCAGCTGCTGCAGGCGGAAGGCCTCCCCGGAGAGCTTGGCCAGGGCCACCTCCCACTCCGCCTCCATCTTCTCCTCCTGCTCAGCCAGCCAGCCCACCCAGACCGGCTGCCTCTCCCGGAGCAGCTCCTGCAGGGACTCCAACACCAGGCCCACCTGTTGCTTCTCGGCGGCAAGTAGCACCTGTGGGGCAGAAGAAGAGGGGGGACTCAGAGGGAGGGGGGAGATTTCCTAGGGCTGCCTCCTGCCCCCTCCCCAAGAGACCCACCTGGCACTCCTGCCGGCTCTCCTCCTCGGCCTGCCTCTGATGCAGCAGCTTCTTCCTCTTCTTCCTCAGGGGCCTTGGGAGGCCATCCAGCAAGTCCTGCACGGGGAGGAGAGGGTGCCATTCCTGGGTCCCAAATGGCAGCGCTCCCACCCAGATGGGGCCACAGGAACCCTGTGCCCAGCTGGGGCTCCCAGGGGCAGGCAGGGGCCCACAAGGAGGAGAGCAACTGAGAGTCGGTCTGCCCCCGTCTCCTGATGGAGTGCCCCATGCAATTTGTAAGGAATTGATAGCCACCGAACAGTTGGGTTGGAAATATACAAACCAGGATAGACATTTACTACTGTCTCTTTAAGGGAATGCTAAAATTGTAATTGGGTGTGGTTCCTCAAAGGCTGTAAGATGGAGCCTTCAATACAGGAACACAATGTTGCCAGCCAATCAAGACACAAAAAGAGCCACAAAACGGACAGAAGATATTAGAAACACCAATCAAGCAGAACACAGCAAACTCCAAGACCAATAAACACAGACCAAGACTCCCAACCAATCAGGATGAAGAAAAAACCATTCTGGCACAGCAGTAGGCTAGCCCCAAATTTAAAACTGAAACAAGTGTAAAAGTCTGACTCACAGACGAACACAATACAGAAGCCGGATGATGGCAGATGAGATTCTGCTGAAACATATATATAATCTAAATCAATAAAAAGCATACTGGTCCTTTT